CGATGCTATTTTATTTGGATTCTTATCGGGAATACGTGCCGGTCGGAAAACTTGATTTGGCAGATTGTGGCGGTCGGCAATTCTGCGTGCCGGTCGGGCCCGACCGGCGCCGACCGGCAGCGGCAGATCCCTGTTCTCCATTGTAAGCATCTATCTTTTTATCTTTTAAAAAGGCCTTTGCCCCTAACCTTCCCCAACCACACAGAATTAAACAGTAATAAAGTGTTTAATTCCGTGGGGATAGGTCTGGTAGGGCCCATAACAGCTGCCTTTTGCATTGGGTTTGGCATACCTCAGAAAAACAAAGTCCAACAGCCTCTGCGCACAAAGTTCCATATGGGTGTTGAACTTTGTATGAATGGGGAAGGTTAGGGCCAGCAACCTTGGGGGGCTAGGGTTAACACTCGGGGAGAATATGCCACTATTGCTGTTTTAGTTCAGTTCCGAGGAAAAGTTGGATGCATTTCATTTGTAATCACACCCTACTTTTTTCCTTTTTAGTGTGTGAAAATTCAAATCATTACCATGCTAATTGTTATTGCTGGTCTTTTGGGGAATTTTCTGAGCTTTCCAATGACACCTCATTCATAAAAATTGATCATAAATCCGAAAATTACAAAATGTTTGGCGAGTCCCATTATTAGGTAGTTTTGGTCACAAAGCTGGATCTGTCAGTCTATTGCCTTAGTGTTAAGTCAGGTGAACAGAAATTAAGCCTAGGCTACTAGTTAGGCGTAATGAAAACTACCATAACTTTCATGTTTTTTGGTCCCATGGAGATGATCTTGTATCGGAAATAGCTTTTCGAGTGCTTTTTAGCAGTATCAGTTCGGTTGTTGTTCATTGATTTTTAATTTTTTGCCACATAGACCTCGGCCTAGCCTACCTACTTAAGTTAGGCCGCCGCCTGGAGAAAGGGATACATTTAGTACAATGTATGATGTAGGCCCTATGTAGTATGCTCCTGTATGTACAAAAGTAAGGTCTAATTTACTCGGACTACATGATACATGTAAATGGCCAATGGCGTGAAGTCAGGATGCTTCAGACTTTCCGTGATCCGGAACTTGCTGTCAATGTTGCTGTAGGCCTATCGAAATTAGACAAGCCTTGGACAAACGTGACGTACATGACGTAGGCTTGTCACAACAACAGTCATGACAGTGTACTCACCGTGTCTGAACTCAAGTCCGGGTCTTCTTGACACAACCTGCATAGAAAAGACTTGGGATCTCGACATAATGTCGTCCTCGTTGTCAGAAAATACGTCCCTCCAACATTTAACCGAACCCACTTCGCCTCAGCAGTGCTGGATTTCGGCATTTCTTGGACGCCGTTTAGCCGAGTCACTTCTGTTTCCATTTCGTGATTGTTCTCACAGCCTGTCCCTCCGGTAGCCATTTTGTAATTGTACGGGTTTGTTGTGTGCCGCCCTCTATTGTCTCTACGTAATGATGTCTGTGAGCGAGCGTGCATTAGGCCAGGTTCAACAAATATCTTTGGCACTTTGCAGTTGACATGGGAGCGGGGGCGGAATTGGGCTTTTTTGAACTATTATGCAGCTAGATATAACCATTATTATTGTTATTATCTTTGATTTACCAGGGAGACCCATTCACATATAACTGTGGTCTTCCATGATGGGGCCCTGGAAAATAAATTAAGTTGAAATAAATCAAAATAGGATAATTAATGCCACAGATACAATGTAAATAAATAAAATAGATAGAATTCCAAGTACTAGATAGAGTAAATATATACATGTAAACAAGAATAAGGACAAATCACACCTCACAAGGATTAAAATCATAAGGAACAAACTACACGTAGAATTAAATAGAATGTTTAGAAAATGCATTGGGAATAAAAATCAGAATGAAATCATCTTAAAATACTCCAAAGAGGTAAAATTACGAGCTGGAATAGTTGAATTACCAACATATTATACAAATAAAATCTAAACGACAGAAACAAAAATAATTAAAACCCAGAAGTTAAAAGGTTTGTTTTCAAAAGCAATTTAAAATTGTGACAAGGATGGCGCCGAACGATTTGTGGTACTCAAGGTATTCCATATTCTAGTGCATTCAATAATCGGGTTGTGTTTGTAACACTCAGATTTGCAAAGTGACATCGTGAAATTATTGGCTCTTCTAGTGTTGTAGCCATGTACCTCTGAGATTTTAGTTATATTACTGGTTAGGTACGGCGGTGTAAGATCATGAGTAGGCCTATATTTCAACATAAAAACTGCCTTTCAGTAAAAAAAAAGGTCTTTAAAAAGTTCGCTTGATGAAGTATCAATACCCTTGGAAAAGATTGAACGTGCTGCATACTTTTGTGACTTGATAAGTTTATCGTTGTGCATTTGATCTATCCGACCATATTTGTGAGCAATAGTCGAAGTGAGGTCAAACGAAAGCATTGTTTTTAATACATCCGGTGGAACACATGGTTTTGCGTGTCTCAGAATTGCAAGTTTTGACTGAACTATCTTTATAACATGATCGACATGATCAGTCCATTTTAACTCCTCGTCGATTATTTTATTTTATTTATTTTTATTTTATTTATATTTATTTTATTCCTCTTGACCCGTTTAATTAAATTCTGGTTAAAGCGATACTGTAATTTCATTTGAATTATTCAATTTTGCCTTGGTCCCTAAAATCATGAAATTAGTTTTTATCAGAATTCAACACAAGTCTGTTACTCTCTAGCCATCTGCTTATTTGGTCTATCGCAACATTTAAGTTATCAGCAATTATTAAAAATGCAGTTATTTGCATTTTTGCCTCAGACTGTAACAATGGTGTCATCGGCAAACATGTCCGCTATGCCACCAACGACTGCTGACGGCATGGTATTTATATATACGGAGAATAATAGCAGGCCCAGAATTGAGCTTTGTGGCACTCCACTAACAACCTTTAATCGATCAGAGCAAACTTCATTAAAGCACAACTTCGAATCTGGTTTGACAAATAATTAGAAAACCAGTTCAGCGTGTGATTTGAGCAACCAAGGGAGTTCAGTTTAGAAAAGAGAGTGTTGTGGTCAATTGTATCAAATGCCTTCCTTAGGTCAATAAAAGCCCCTCCATTAAGTAAACCATTTTCAATGTTACTGCTCCACTGGTTAACTAATTTTGCTAAGACAGTTGATGTGGAGTGCAAAGGCCAAGAACCGGAGTGATTAGCACGCATAAGTTCCTTGTCATTAACATTACGCATAGAGCTGATCTTAGACAGATTTTTCCAAAATTTTACTGGTGACTGGGAGGACAGATATTGGTCGGTAATTGCCTACGTCAGACTTATCAACAGTTTCACATACCGGTGTGACCTTTGCACTTTTCATAGTTTGAGGCACTAAACCAGATTGTAATGACCGGTTAACAAGTTTAGTTAGCGACTCGAGAATCGCAGGCAGAGCAATTTTTCGTAGACGGCAACTGACATCGTCGTCCCCGGTGGCCTTGTTTATATCCATGTTTTTATAATCTCAGCAACATAACTTTCAGGGAAAGATTTGATACCCAAAGTGTTTTGAACCTTTTATCATTCTAATATGACGTACACGTCTTGTGATTGTGATTCTCTGGCAACTTCTCGGTCACTTTCTTTGCGCAGTTAATAAAACATTCGTTAACGACATTTGCGATATCGTCAGGCTTACCACATGTTTGACCTTCGTGATGGATCGAATTCGGTAAAGTGTGTTTTTTCCTCGAGATTACCTCATTACTTTCTTGCCATTTCCTCTGTTGGCACAAAGAATACCACGATAATAATCAGATTTTGTTTACGCATTAAACGAGCGATTTGTTTTCTTAGCCAGAGGTATGCACTCCATAATTCGGTATTATTTGATTTTACAGCGACTTCATGCATTTTTATCTCTCTTTCTTTCATCATGGCAACAATATCATGGGATATCCACGGACATGCATTTTTTTCCTCACAATATTTGTCGAAAAGTAACATGGGAATCGACAGTCATGAACATGTCAATCCGTTTTTCACGAGCCAAATCAATGTCTTCAATGGTGTCAAGATTTTCGAATTGTTGACTGGATAAATCATGGATATTCACTGTGAGCATTATTAACGAAGTTTCAATATAGTCGAAATAGGGCAACTTCATAGCCTCGTGCGCACCAGTGGAAAAGTGAATTGACTGACCTGTCTCAAACGAAAATGGGAGATTTGCGGGAACGGTACATCTCTAACTTTCATAACATTGGTGTCAAAATGTTTGTAATTATTACTGAAAAACTCCTGAAGGTTTGGCATGAGAAAAATAATACATCGCAACAATAGTGGAGAAAATGTCAAAGTGGCAAATTCTGCCCTCTGCTCAAATCTTCCAGTTTAAGTTTCTTGTTATAATTTCATCTTTGTATGATGACTTAAATATACTTGGAGGACGTATTCCTTTGCCTTCGGTTAGACCTTGCGCGGTTTAATATCTTTACTGCACAGCGTATGTCACCACTATTGTATGAAATTTGCACTGTTATAATGAATAAATTATCACCATTACAGTACTTCGATATTTAGTACCTTATAAATCTATAATAAATCTATAACAAAACTCTCAGATCACAGAGGGCAGCTTCAACCGCAATCTCAAGCAATTTTAAATTCGTATTAAGAGCTATGGAAATGCTGAACATTTTAAAAAGGAAACTAATGCACATTTTGTTCGTTTCCTCCGCGGGGAGGATAGCGATTTATAGGAAAGTACGCCAATCTGGTGTCATCTCTTTCGAAAATCACAATCCGTTAAACAAAAACAAGGGACCAAAATAAAAAATGGCTTCCTCATAAATAAAGGTCTATCATCCTTCGCGGCCGACTTCAGCAAAGTCATTGTAACTGAATTCCTTTTTTTTATGTGTTGGGGTTGTCCCCGCGCAGGTTCGAATCCTGCCGACTACGCCAAGTGTTACCGAGCGGATCCACTCAGAAAGGATGAAAGAACAGTTGGTTCTAATGTACAAATTTCATAACGGTGTAGTATAAGGGTGTTATATAAAACGAAAGTCCACGGAGATGATGAAGAACAATCTGAAAGATAAAGAAAATAAATAGCCAGTAACTTACATACAATTTTGTTTCCCTATTAATTGTTCCAGGACAGCGGTTCCCTTACTGTAATGTTTACCACATTACCCAAATTAGCAGGAATGGTCCTTGTGTTTATAAAAGAATATTACTTACAATTTGATTATAAATATAAAACACATTACCTACAAAGGAATATTTTACCAGACAATACACTTCTGGTTCTTTTATAAGAGGTATTCGACTGTTACTTTTATTTAAATTAAATTGTTTTTGTAATCTCACGAATTTCAACAAAGAAATGGAGCGGCCTTGGGAAAAATGATCATAGGTCTGGTATTACCCACTCTTGAAAGTCCGTACAATGATAAAAACTAGCCAAGGTAAATATTATGAAGGTTTCATTTCCCACTTTGTTTAATCATTATAGTTGTGACAGATCAGAATATGCTTGGTTGTTCCCTTCAACATTAAAGTTCGCTATAGGGTCAATTGTACATGATTCCTTTCACCATTATTGACATTAAAAATACAAGGTTATGTACACAAATAATCACCCACTGCCGTGAGATAATTCTTCACGTTCATACAAGTAATGACATGTAACATGATTGAATGAGAAGCAGATCCCACAAAATTGTGTACCGGCACAGTATTAAAACATCATTAACCAAACAAAGTGTACTGCAAGTACATTATGTTTATTTTTAAAAACTGCAACTCACCATTTGAACTGCTTGCTCATGCCTCCCATAAGCTGCAGGCTGCCAACAACGGAAAGTTATCAGCAGAGCTAGGCTGGCTAAAAGGAAGATGTTAACTCTTGCCTAAGTTAGATCGAAATCAACAGCTCGAGCATTTTTCCTCGACAAGAAAACCCTGAAAATGCCAGAAAGAATGTCCGGTGTGCGAAAAGCACTGCAGCGAGGATGCAACATATTCTAAATCTGCGCGTAAAATCCGGGGCGAAACTGTGAGAACAAAAAACTGTACGGCCGCAAGAGGGCGCTAGTCTAAATTGTTTACGCCTGGCCGGTCACGTACAGCACACAATCATGTTCTCTGATACGGCCCAACTATAACATCTACCCCAACTATAGTTGGGCCCGTCCCACGTGAGTGATAGTTGGGCTGGCCCAACTACAACACAGAGGTCCAGTGTGCATGTGTTCAGCATGTGTCAAAGTCATATTCACTGTTTACAGTTTCGTGTCACAGATGAAATTCCAATTTGTTTTTTTATAAATTGTGTCAAGTGTAAGATGCATAAACTTCGACAAGGTTGAGAAAATTTCTATCGGAAATTGGTCAACAATAATTGGGCCAGCCCAACTGCACCACTACAGTTGGGACTGTAGTTGGGGAGTAACAACTCAAAGGAAAATGAACCAGCGTCAGGTGAGAGTAGTAAGGCGAAAACTCGACCTGGTTACACTTGAGATGGTGGGAGCAAATTGAATTTGCAGTACTGGGTGACTGGTCGCATTCATCTCTGTAAGATAAAAGGGGTGGTGCCTCCGAATGAGGAAGTCTGCAGTTTTTATTCCTGCCCCACTTCCTGTTTAACTTCTGTTACATGTATAAAGGCCGCCGAGTTCGCAAATACGCTCATAAGCCAAGACACTGACTTTGAGACTGGGTATCATCAAGAACCAGCATGTCGTGCGTTACATGGGTATCCGTTTTCACAAAACTGATGGCCATTGCTGTGTTTACTACAGCAACATCAGCCAGCGTGCAGTTGGCTCTCACCGTGCAGGATAACTTCCCGCAGAGATACTCCTCCATCGATCTGACTTGTAGTTGCAACGGCCACTGTCACTTGGGCCAGCAAACACTCGTCTGGACGAAGAATGGGATGGGAGTTGCCGAGTGGACCGAAACCACTGGCTCAGAAACACCAGCCAAATACGAGCTGAGCTACATGTCACTCGGCACCGAAGGATTCTTTGCCTATATGAAAATTAGAATGATGGACACAGAAGACAACGGTGAGTACAGATGTCAGATTCAGCGAGATGGGACAGTCCGTGGTACCTCAAATTCTCAAGACCTGATGGTTGAACAGCCACCTTCACGTGAGTACCCAGAATGTTCGGTACGGCCCGTCCGGGACGGCAGAGCACTCATCTGCGACTCGGAGAAGGGTAGACCACCGGTCAGTCTTCAGTGGTTCAAAGACGGACAACCTCTCGAGCAGTCCACGCCCACTGACGACTTAGGGGACTTTGTCCAGGCGCGCTTACTGGTAGCAGAGGACGACGAGTCCAGTAGAGGAAAGTTTGAGTGCTCCCTGACATTTAGAGGAGAGGTTACCGGCTCTTGCTCCCTGGATCGACCTAACACAACAATTCCCACCATCACGAGCGGACTAAGCACGGGACAGGATTTAGTCGTCGTCTGTGTCACCTCTGGAAATCCCCCAGTGTCCTCCGTTGCCTGGGACTTCACACCTAGTCTCCATTCATCCTTCAGAGAAGACGGACATGTGCTCATGATCTCTAACATCAGCTCCAGCGACAACGGCACTCGGATAATTTGTGAAGGGCATAATGCACTTGGCAGCAATCAGGCAAGTAGAGTGATAACTCTGCGACCACTTGAAGCCACAGCGCAGCCGATAGCAGTTCAACTTGAACAAACCAAAGTGCCAACTTCAGTGGGTGAGTTAGCTGAATTCACATGCACCACAAGACCAACTCGGTCCCCTCTTCCTCCCTGCGTCTGGCACTACTATGGTCACTACGTGGATCCCTTCAATACGTCCGACAGATTTCTTGTAGAGGATCGCTCAGAACACGTGTTGTCGGTTTTATTAGTGTCAACCGCTGACGTAGGCGCCTTGGTTACTTGCCGCATCATGGTCAGTTTCCAGCCCAATGCTGAGACAACCGTCAGGGCGGATTTTCCATTGACCACTGAGGGTATGACGGTACCAATGATCCTCACACCACCCGCCCCGTTCACGCCAAAGCTGGACGACTCGTCAAACTCCTGGAATTTTGACATCAGGTCACGGTTTGGGTACATCATCGGAGGTCTGATGTGCTTGGTTTTGATCGGGATTTGTTGCTGGGTCTCTCTCAAGGCGAAATCTCTCCTATGTGGCAAGCGAGGTACCCAGATCGACAAGGACAATGGGACGGCCAAAGCGTCCTGCATCCGCCTCGAAGACAACAATTTCATGGTAGACCTTGACACGCCTTCTGCGGTGATCATGAACAACGCCCCAACCGTTCCCCCTTCGCGGTTGACCAAGCAGGCCTTACTGGAGCAAGAGACGCCTTATCAGGATCTGGAGGATGTGTCTCGTCAACGGCAAGAAAACAGCTACCAGCGACTCATCAGTAACGTCTGGTTGCCGCCTCCAGTGTCGTCTTACACTTAGTGTGAACAACCATGTAGCCGGACTGTAGAATGACACTCGGTTACAAACTGCACACTTAGTTCTTGTCACCTAACTGAAATTGACGCTGTAAGAAAAGGCTACAAAAGGGGACCGAACGAACACAAAGCTGAACATTTTGACTTTGGGAATGTCTCGTTACCACCATTGATCCAAATCCCTTTGGAGTTGTTAGGTGTTTGGTGAAAAGAACAGGATAGGGACACTGCTTCTGTTTGCGTTCTCCATAAAAAAAAAACACCAGTCGTATAGAAATATCTCTAAATGATAGGAAATGAAACTCGTAGCTCTATAAATATCGAATTAAAACACTTTCCAAAACGATGGTCTAAAACGTTTATCAGCATACATAATACGCACGCAAAAGGCGCATGTAAGTTTCGCGTCATGTGTCCTAACAGTTGGCTTGTAATGTGTATCACGGCAAAAATTGCTGTTTATGCTAAGCATGTTAGTATTAATGAATAGTGTTGACTTGAACTTTTCCTTTAAGGAATTGGATGCGTGATGTTTCATGTCTACAATTGCTACAAGTGGATAACAAGATTTGAAGTTGCTAAACACAGTTTTTGTGTGATATTCTTTGAGCAGATGCGTATGTGTTGTTTGGATGTTTACAATGTTGTCATTATGCTTCGGGCTATAGCTTGAATTGGATTTAAGGTTGTACAGTTAAAAAGGAATAAATGAGTGGGTTCCAAAACAAGGTTGAAATGTTTCATCAAAACTTCGTGTACAGCTAGCACTGTCTTAAAACTATAACAATAAACCAAAGGACAAATTGTGGTAAGTCACATTTGATGAAACAGAATCCCCGGCTGATAAACTAGACGTAAAGGCGTAGTTGTTGCATAAACAGTGGCACCAACAAGAAACAAATAACCCTGTTTCCGGATCCAACGATAGGTGGGATTGAAAACATACTTCTGAAATAATCTTCCAGTGTTAAGTTAAAATAACTGTTAAGCTTGTGTTGTATCCAGAATGAAGCAGTCACTGATATATTTGTGGACATTTTTTGCTGGAGAGTTCGCATTGTGTGCATCGGCAAAAATATTTGTATTAGTCGGTATACTTTGATATTTAAAGAGAACAAGGTCAATTTGAAACTGTGTTATGATTAAAATTTGAAAGAGCGGTTTTTAATACGGGCGATTCACAATTGTGCGCCTCCGGGAGTGAGCAACGTGTTGAACAATCACAAGGCGCGAAAGCTGTCGACCCTTTCCAAACGCGCATTGGGTCGACAGATTTAGCGCACTGAGATTGATCAACGCGTTGCAAACTCTTGGAGGCGCACTATTGTGAAACGCCCGTATTGCAGTCTGTGTGGCATTATGTATCTATATCGAACCACGGAAAGTCCATGGTGCTGATATGTTGTAAATAATCTATGTATGTTTATATTAGACCGAACGGGAATACATTGCGAGTGCCGGACGTGGAAGTTTTATTTGACGGTACACATTGAAAGACAAACTTTAAACAAGACAAATATACAAACAAACTGGAAGTCAGACGGTCTTCCCGCCCGACAAATAGTATCTCCCTAGTGCAGACAGTCATTTTTATCTAATTTTATTTATTTTTATTCACTGTCTTATTTTAATAAATTACATACATTGTTAGTACCTGTATTTTTCCATGAGGAGGAAATAAATGTAATGAAATGAAATTGAATTGTAGTTAAGAAAATTCCGTAGTTACGGGCCTGTGAAATGATCGCACTGCACAGACACACGCAATGTAGTTACTGAGACACTCTATAAGGGACTGCACATAAATACAGGAAAGATGAGGACATTAAAAAATCGTGAATAAATGTCAGACTAAAAAAAACGATGATTTCTTTGAACTGATTTATTTGCATCATCGAGGTTTCATTCAACTAGTCCGCAGTACCTTTTCCAGCCGTCTTCTGTTTCAACCAACATTCCCGGACACTTGAGGGGGTGACTTTGTGCCCTGTCTCACCTCCGTCCAATTACTTTTATGACCGGCAGTGACCATGGCTGAATCCAGGCCCAATTTTGTTGGGGGGAGGCAAAACAAGTAGGTAGCGCACCCGCCGCACTTTTGCATTAACTGATTCGCACCAGTCAGAATTAAGCAGCTGCTCAGAATCAATTTCCTGAACAAAATGGCTCTGTCCATACAAAAAACCTCCATTTAAGACAATTAGCATCTTCATTATAATTGATTAAAAGAAATCCTCATGGTTTTTTTTTGGGGGGGGGAGGTGGGGTGGGGCATGGCCCCACTACGGCCCCCCCCCTCCATCACTTGGCGGTGCCGCAATCATGCTATATACTGAACTATTTGCAGTTTTGCCACTTAGCCTTTACGGACCCTCGGCTGTAACATAGTGAAAGTAAATTTCACGTTATTACACTTTATCAATTTTACAGAACTACTATTTCAGAATCATCACATTTGTGAAGAACAGCACCCCTTAAAGGGGGGTCGATATCCCTGGCGGATGCAAAAGTGATGCCAATCTGACGTCATGAATAATTTCAGTATCTATATCATTACTTTTCTTACTTCCTATAACAGAATTGAAAGCCCAAGATAAGCTAGATCGATGCCGGAAAAACAGAAATTCTCTTCAGTTTCGGTTGCAGGACTGCTGACTATATAAGCTGGCAGTGCCTTCTTAAAAGACAGTTTTGAAACACAGAACAGGAGGTACAGTGTCGGTACCTTGCAACATGGCATTCGGGATCGGTATTAATACCGTGCTCCTCAGGCTTGCTTCACTTGCCTTTGTGTTCATGGCAACACTGCACTCAGCAAAGTCATTGGAGCTGGAAGTGGAAGATGACAATCGATATCCAGTTGCTGAATCCGATGTCGTGCTGACATGCTACGGTGCGTATGACGGTATCTTGACCTTCAGCGGAAATCCACAAGGAAAAGTGGTTTGGATGAAGGACGGTCAGCCGATTGCTGAGTGGCCCAAACCAGCTGGAACGGAGACGCCCACTAGATACGATCTATCGGCAGACGCACCTGAGGACGGCGCGGTTTATGCGTATCTTACAATCCGGTCTATGGACACAACAGACAACGGTGCGTACAGATGTCAGCTTTTGAGAGGAGAAACGGTACTTGGCACGTCGTACGAGGTAAGGTTGACAGTCGAACAACGCCCAGCAAGTGAATACCCCAAATGCTCAGTCCTAACCCTCAGCAACGAGCAAGTGTTCCTCTGCGAGTCGGAGAGGGGAAGTCCGCCGGTCAGCCTCCAGTGGTGGAAAGGCGAACAACCTCTCAACAAGACCGATCTTGACGTGGATGGGTTTGTACAGGCTCGCTTTGCAGCTGGAGAAGAGGATGAATCCAACGCGGGAAGGTTCGAGTGCTCCCTGACATTCAGAGAACAACGCACTGGGTCTTGCGTCCTGGACCGACCCAGTGTGGCGATTCCGGCTCCCACCAGTGGACTACTCCTCGGACAAGACTTGATCGTCGTGTGTGTAACGTCTGGCAATCCACCAGTGTCCATCGTTGACTGGGACTTTAAACCTAGCCTTTTTTCGTCCTTCGGAAAAGATGGAAACACATTAACGATTTACAACATCAGTTCGCGTGACAACGGCACACAGATAATTTGTGAAGGGCACAATGCACTTGGCAGCAATCAGGCAAGTAGAGTGATAACTCTGCGACCGCTTGAAGCCACAGTGCAGCCGATAACAGTGCAACTTGAACAAACCAAAGTACCAACATCACTCGACGAACAAGCTCAGTTCAAATGTGTTACGACTCCCCCGCGCTCCCCTCCTCCCCCACCTTGCATATGGCATTACAACGGTGAGTACGTAGACCCCGACAACACCTCGGACAGATTCCTCGTGGAGGACCGTTCAGAACATGTCTTGTCAGTTTCCAGTGTTACAACCATGGACGTAGGAGCCTCAGTAACCTGTCACATCGTGGTCAGTTACCGGCCAAATGCCGAGGTTTTCCTTCGGGCAACCTTCCCACAAACCACCAAGGCGGCACCAGTCCTCACAACCACACGGAGGCCCCCTAAATCTGGACCTTCGTTATCTGATAAGTCGTGGCCATTCAGCACACAGATGGGGTACATTATCGGAGGTCTGATGTGCTTGGTCTTGGTCGGGATTTGTTGCTGGGTCTCTCTCAAGGCAAAATCTCTTCTGTGCTCAAAGCCATCCACCAAGAACGACGAAAAGCCAAGGACGAGGACCAAAGCTTCATGCAACCGCCTCGACAATGATTTCATAGTGGACATTGGTATGCCCCCTGAACTGACCGCCCGTCCTTCGATTGTGACCAAGTTGGCCTTGGCCGAGGAAGAGTCCCCCTACCAGGATTTGGAAGACGTATCCCGTCAGCGGCAGATTAATGAGTACCAGCGTCTGATCAGCAATGACTGGGCCCCACCCGCACCGGAACCGTATTGAAAATGATGTAGAGATGGCGTAAGTGTTGTAGTTTATGAAGTTGAAAAATGAAGAATTGAGAAGGTAATCATCAACCGTAAGTCAGCTTATGGTGTGTTTCTCCAAAACTGGAACGGTTTCATGTCTTTCTGAATATGAGCCGGTTATTTTTTAACAAAGAAGCTATGTCTCTCTTTGTTACTTAAAGCGTACAGATGAACCTTGTGCCACTGGATTGACTCTAGACGAGATGTTTCATGTGGACAAACCATAAATCCTTTCCATTCTGTTACATGCGCTTCATCAGATCTTATGTCTAATTAGGGCCTATGTCAGATACATTCCCCAATTGTATAATGAAGAGCATGGGAATCGTCAGGATCTTTTCCAGGGGGCCAAACCACTTTTTAGGGGTGGGGGTTTTCCGGAGAAAGGCAAAGCAATAATCTGGGTAAAAAATTATAGTTAACTGCTGAAGGGGGTCAATTTTGTTTTTTGTTCAAGCATGTTGGTGATTTTCATCCCCTTTCGTCTGCTTTTTTTGCAATATCTTTCTCTCTTTTCCCTATTTTTTTTTGGGGGGGGGACACCCCCTTGCCCCCACGATGACCATGTTTAAAGGTGTTGGTGTATCTTATCTGGTATGCAATGCTCTCTACTGATTAAAATTGCACTCACTGTGAAGGTAGTTGTTACACCGAAAACAACGTTCACATACATGTAGTTCTAAATCAAATACCTTAAAATATCGACATGCTGCGCGCTGTCTTCGCCTTTCCCACTTAAAATTGTTACGATATTCTAGGTATATCTCTTCTGGGGATTTATCACGTGACTTTATACTGGCTTTGGCTTAAAGGAATTAAATCCAATGCATTATTCTTGAACGTAAAACAAGCTTTTGTTGCAAGAAGTTTATGCGCCTACAATCGACTCCATGAGACATGCTACAATGTTCCAGCCTCACTGAATTGCTTCCGTACTGACATTTATGGGTGTCTTTCATCCTCTGCAAAATGATTGATTTTTTATTGATTCTTGTTCTTTAGCCCTCTGTTTTTACATGATTCGGCAGTGGTAATTTTGATGTGGCATAACAGTGTCTATATTTAATTCTTCCTTTTTTTAATAGATATTTTAAGTTGATAAATGTTCCAATTTTAATGCTTCCACACCGACATTTGCAGGTGTCTTCTGTCCTCTGTAACTGATTGATTTTCATTGGTTCCTGTTAATTTTATCCGCTGTGTTTTTCTACATGATTCAGCAGTGGTAATTTTTATGTGTCATAACAGTGTCTGTATTATTTTTTTCCCAGATACTTCAAGTCATATTTAATATTTCGATTTTAAATTTTCTATAAATGAATCCTGTAAATGGCGGCTAACCGCCGATGGTTTCATTCATTAAATAAAATAAAAAAGAAAATATTCTCGTGGTTTGAAAAAAAAGGCAGAGGGTAATTTTTAATCAATTGTTGAAATTATACCCAATAAGTCATCTTGTCATATTTCTGCTGCATAAATATTACAAGGCATGGTATTGTATGCTGCAAACGATAAGTTTCTTCAACGTTTGCAAAATAGTCACATTTAGTGGTATAGTGTTGGTATCAGACCGTAACTTGCTTGTAAATTAGTTCGTAACCCCAGGGTTTGTTGACCAAAACTGTGTGTTTAATACAGCAGAGCTGAGAGGGAATTATTATAATATCATACTATACGTATCACAATATTGTAGACTCAGCTCCAGTAATATTATATCGAATACCGCTGGAGGCAAGTCTAGGATGGGATTTCTGAGATACATTCAAACGTAAAACATTTAAAATGAATATCTGCATCACCAGAAAGAAAAATCTGGTGTCTGGTCTGTGGGCACATCACCGTAGACCTTTTCGTCAGCCAAATGGAAAAAAACATATATACTTAATGAAACGATGGCCCAAATCTGACTAACTGGCAGGATTGACTGGTTCATGCGCCTGGCCAGAAATCGGAACCTTTTGGGGCGAATGTTTACCTCTTGAGTGTTGCAGAAAATGGAGGCATTCTACACATCATTTTGTAAAATATTATACGTAAATAGCGCTAAATCTTTACTACACTCGTGCTACAATATATGTAAATAATTGTTTATCGTGTTTATCATTTAGAATTGCCGCTAATAATGTGCTTTATCCGAAGTCATGATATCTTAGATAGTTTCATTTTAATTACTGTGTGAAGTTTTATGTGTGAATGTCAGTACTTTTTTCCACCAAACTGAATAATTTTAATTGCTTAATTAAGGACAACTCCCAGTCAGACATGCAAAATGCAATTTGAGTCAAGCATTCGTCAAGTATCAGTTGAACATAGAGTTAACTTTGTGATAATACTTAAGCAGTTTCTTACTGTGCTTGATTATGGTTGGCCTAAAAATGTGGATCATTTCAAGAGGTATATTTTATAAATAAATTAGGAGATTTCTATATGAAGACTTGAAAGAGATAAGACAGCTTAATAAAACAGATAAACACTTTATAAATTTGGTTATATTTTCTATTTGTGAAAATGTTTTGATGAAAAGAAAATCAAGATTATAGTAAAATGAAGATTTAAAAGTTGAAGAATATGTTTCACAAGAAAGACGAATCCTGAAATGTAATTAAATACGTATGGTGTTCAGGATAATTATGTGTAAATGTGTGTCAATAAATGCTCTACTTTACTGATAAGCATGATGAGGTGAACTGTTGAAAGCTGCAACTGATATTTTCAACGAGGATGCTGGCTGCAATCTTACTTTTAAAACGTTTGGAACCTTTTAAACGCAAGGTCAAACATCAACTCTCATTGGTTCCATTTCCGGATCAAAACGTATAAAACTCAAGTGGAATGAATTTTACTTTTCATCGCCAGAACGTAATTAAACCCCTTTTTTATATCTTCGTACAAACAAAAGTAAATGCAGGTTAAATGATTTTTTTCCCGGGAGAGATCATCGTGATTTGAATAATTCCAGTAGATTTGGTCAAAATAAATTCAGCAAATTGATGGCAGCAGACTACCTGGTTGATTTGGCCAAAAAAGCAGGAAAAACAAAAAAAAACAATAAACAAAAAAACAAAAAGAAATTTGAAAAACTTGTCTTTGGGACCGAATTTTTCACTTTGTGGAAACAACGACGACCTATTTCGGAGAAAAGACAATAGAACGAAAGTGCACAAGCTTGCATGCATGGTGCCCTGAGGCCTATTCTCGATAGCCAGTGAATTTCCTCCTTGCGGACTAGGCACGAACTTGGGAAATTCCTTCTGGGTTTCGCCACTTCAAAATTCTCAGAACTCGTTTTCGAAAAGGCTTGAATCGTCTTTTGAGTAAGGTTTGGTGTTTTTAAAGACAAAATGGGTTGTATTATAATGATATATTTGATTTCAAAATTTTCAAATTAAATCAAAGCTTTGTGAAAAGTCAATCTCTGGTGTTATGACTTACGTTGTTTTCAGTGTCTTCCATTGCATCTGCAAGACCCGTTGGCTTTATTTCATCTAACTGACAAAGGATTGATCAGACGTCTACGGGGGTTTTAAAGGGACGTGGTAGGGAAAAAAATATATGTTGTCGGCGAACGCACTTTGTTGAGGGAACAACAAAATGTTGTTGAGGGCACAACGAACTTTGTTCAGCGACGACCGTTTGTTGAGCGTTTCCCGCGCTTTCTGGGTGCAGTCGACTAATTCAATTGAGAATTTCTGGTCAGCTCATTAGCCTACCCCCCCGAGTATCTTTTGAAAAGGGAGATTGTTTGGCCCCCTAGAGTGATGTGATTGTGTAAATTGTTGCCAGGATCAACTCCTTGGGTCTTTGAGCTTGTATATGAGTGCAGAATGGCTAAAAAATACGGTTGAAAATGGTCCTAAGTGCCCGTGAAAGTTGAAGGTTGCCACTTAAAAAATGGCTGCAAGCAGACTTCGGGGAAAAAATCACGGAGTGATTTTGTTTTGTAAGAATAACTACAAATGTTCCCCGTTAACCCACAAAAAATCGAAAAGAAATGGAAAGATTAGGGACCAGACAATCATTTAATTTGTGTTCCCTCAACAACAACGGTTATTCCCTCGACTAAATTGGTTGTTCACTCAACTAAAACTGGTTGTTCCCCCGTCAAAATTTGTTATTCCCTCA